ACAACTGGAATGTTATAAATAAGTCGTGAATAATAAAACCATGCACAGTCAAACTCAAATAATGCCTTATCTCTTGATAGTAACCAGTTCAAGACGACTAATGTGCATGTTTTGATACTAATTATATTTTCTGTTATGTTAAAGAATATCAGAAACATTTACTAGATTCATCTAAGGATACTCATTGATAACACACAGCATTACTTTCAAAAGTAATTTCGGTTAAAAATCTTTGTGTTAATTGTAGTAGATTTAAATGTAGATGCAGGCTACCTTGACTTAATCGACTTTGAAAAAGGCCTTCAATAGCTTAGACCAAGAAGTAATTTGGAAACACTAGGGAGCACCGCAAAACGTCATCAACTTCATTCAAAAGCTATATGCCATATAGGGTTGATACATACCAGGTGATTCACAATGGAAAACTCAGTGATGCCTTTGAAGTGAAGACATGAGTAAGAAAAGGTTGCCTACTGTCACCGATTGCCTTCCTGATTGTGGTCAACTGGACTGGATGATGCCACAAACAACAGTGACGAGCAAGAAGATGAGCACACCCTGACTGGATCAATGAAAAGACCCTACACCATTTGGATTTCACCGACGACAATTCACGTCTAGTGTCACACAAACCCGGAAACTTATAGACAAAATTAACAAGTTGACAGAAGAGGCAGTGAAGACAGGAGTTTAAGTCAAAATGGAAAAGACAGAGGTGATGAAGATACCCAACCAACAAATAGAACATCAGCATCAACAACAAGCAACAATCACCATCAACGCGAGAAACCCAAAGGAAGTTGTCTCTTTCGCCTACATGTCTAGGCAGCATTGTTTCAACCACAGGTGGTACAGGCACAGACGAGGATGTCAAAACCAGGATGAGAAAGACAGCAAGACAGGTCTTCCTTCATTAATCTGAAATCAGTGAGGAGATCTACTGCACTACACTCCAATCCATCATCATCATCATCATTATCAACATAGGACCAGGCATTACTGCGTAACGGTCCGAGTTGCCACACCTCATATCAGCACATCAAGTAAAAAGGTAGTGAGGTGAAGGATGAAGATAAGTGAATGCAGTCAAAAGAAATATAAAGTACGAGAAGAAAGGAAAGAGGAGTGACAAAATAGTGAGATTCGGTATAGCGTTGTTAAGATGAGGATAATGTGTGTATACATCTGCGCCACTGACTTCGGTTCTGAGCCATATCACCTAGGGTCTCCAACCACTGGTTCCTCTTGTCCCGTGGACCCCAACCACCTAGTCTGCATCGTCCTACATGGCTTAAACCAACAGTCAGAGACTTCATACATTGGTGCCATGTTTTAGTCTGGCCACCTCGGGCCTTTTTCCAGCCTGAACCCACCTCAGCCAACATTGTGTGACGAGGCAATCGGTGACTAGGCATACGTAGTACGTGTCCCAACCATCTCAGTCGATGAAGGTTCACAACCTCGTCGACTGACTTACCTCTTCTCCCTAAAACTCTACACCTAACTTCTGCATTACTCACATGGTGACACCACGGAATACGTCCTATACTACGAAGGCAACGGTGGTCAAATACCTGTAACCTTCTCATGTCTTCCACTTTCAATGGCCATGTTTCACAGCCATACAGTAGAACAGAGCGGACTGCTGTGCAGTACACGCGACCCTTAATAGACAAACGAATATCACGGCGGCGCCATAGGTGGCGCAAATTGGCAAAAGCCAATCGAGCCTTTTGTATCCGTGCAGAAATCTCATCGGCAACTAACCCACCGGGTTGATCCTACTTCCCAGGTAAGTGAAGTGGTCAACACACTCAACCACTTCACTCTCTATTGTTAACCGCGGTACCGCTGAAGACCAGTCCTGGAGCAAAAATTTGCATTTGGGTGGTGAAAATCGCATCCCAAACATTCTCAAATTCCCACTCAAAGTGTTCAGAAGACTCTGCATCTTGTCAGCGTCTTCACCTAACAGGACTATGTCATCTGCATATTCTAGATCTAAGGAAAATTCACCTGTGATCCGGTCAACGTCTTTGTAATTAGGTGACGAGAGGGAAACCTCCATAAGAATATCTATGATAAAATTAAATAAGAATGGGGATAGTGGGCATCCTTGACGGACACCACTTGATGAGTATAGCTCCCTGGACAACTCACCATAGGCTCTAACATGCCCACAAGTGTTCGAGTAGAGAGCTTTCAATAAGGTGATGTACTTACTAGGCACGCCTTTCAGTGACAGACACTGCCATAAGACTTCTCGATCAACGGAGTCAAATGCCGCCTTCAGGTCGAGAAATACAGCTATTGTCGGGCGTCTGTAAGCATGCCTATGTTCCAGGACCTGGCGCAGTGTGAATATTTGGTCGATACATCCACGGCCAGGTCTAAAGCCTGCCTGGTTTTCTCGGGCTTGCTGTTCCCGAGCTCCACTCAGGCGTCGGAGAATTATAGAACTTAGGATCTTAGACACTATGTTTGTCAGGCTGATTCCTCTGTGGTTATCACAAGAGGACTTCTCGCCTTTCTTGAAGACTGGGATGATGAGTGACTTAGACCAGTCGGAGGGGATCGTATTTGATTCCCATATACTGGCTAACACTTCCGTTAGCCTGACTAAGAGAACTCTACCACCATTCTTGTATACCTCAGCAGGTAGTCCGTCTGGTCCTGCTGCCCTTCCCCGTTTCAGGCTACCTACCGCTTTCTCAACTTCTTCTAGTGTTGGGGGACCTGTCTCTATGTCCCATTCAGGGTCCGACTGGATAGCGGGCAGCGCAATGGTGGCTGGAGGCCAGTTAAACTGTTCCTCAAAGTGTTCTGCCCATCGTCCCAGTCGCCTTCCCTGCGAGTGAATCGCCGATCCGTCCTTCTCCGCTATAACCTCACTAACTGTTGTTGACCATTTCCCCCCAGTCTCCTTAATAAGTCTAAATAACTGTCTACTGTTACCGATCGCCGCTGCCTTTTCCATCTCTTTAGCCTTTGCTGCCCACCACTGTTCACGATCGTTGCGCAGACTTTTCGTCAGTTTATTTTTAAGTTGCGCTCGCTCTTCATTGTACTCAGAGCCTGCAGGGATGCATTCACGTGCATCCATTAGTTTGGAAGAAGCTGCTGATATCCACTGGCTCTTTTTAGCCATTATCTTGGAGTCGGCTACAGTCTCCAGTGCTGCTTTTACAGTAGACTGAAGATGGCACCAAGCTTCTTCTGGATGAGTGACAGTCTTTTGTTCCGATAACTGCCTAGCCAACTTCTCACTGAACACGGCTTTGGTGTTTTCGTTGTCCAGCAGAACTCGTAGTGGTTTTGTTGCCAAATTTTTTCTACGTCCATTGAGACGCAGGCATATACGTGCTCGGACCAACGCATGATCGCTGTCCAAACACGTACTCCAGAAGGAGCGGCAGTCTTCCACCGATCCTCTCCAGCGATGACTAATAGCAATGTGGTCTATCTGTGTCCATCGCTGAGTCGAGCTCGGTGGACGCCAGGTCAGACAGTGCCTTTCTTTATGTCTGAAATTTGTGCTGGCTAAAAATAGGCGGTTATCTGAGCATAGTTGTAATAGGCGATCACCGTTATCTGTACGTTCAGCTGGGATTCCGAAAGTGCCACCTAAGTGCCTTTCTGCCTCACTCAGTCTACCCACCTGTGCGTTGAGGTCACCTGCAACAACCACTACGTCCGAACGTTTGGCTTTCGAGAGGAGGTTAGACAGTTTATGGTAGAACTCGTCCTTCACTTCATCCGAACTACAGTCAGTGGGTGCGTAAGCAGAGATTACAAAGAGACAACGGCGAGTCTCACTATTCCTTTTAGTTCTCACTGTGCCGTTCAGCCTCATAGCGCAGAGGCGACTATCAACTGGGATCCAGTCTAGTAGTGAGTTTTCTGCCCTGGTGCTTAATGCTATACCTACACCTGCAAGACCACGAGAGCTAGCTATCGAATCTCCAGAAACTCGAAGGGTGAATTTCGCAGATTCACCAGAGCTCCAATTCACTCCACTCAGCATACAGCGTGAACAACATCCACATTTTCAACACTACTAATGTCAGTCAAGTCAGTCAGTGCTTCTGTGTGATGATTCAGAAACCTGGCACATCATGACAAACATTTCCAACAAACTACAGATACACATCATCAACAGGTGCCATCTACACTCACTCGATACTGAATATCAGATGAGATGGCCAGAATAATAAGCAATAAGCAAGAAGGAATTTTGGTTTGCTGGCTGGCAACGAACTAACCAAGAACCCACCGCCCAACGTGTATTCAGAAGAAGTGGAGATGGGTTGGACTAGGCATACACTGAGAAGGCTGATTGGGGACACCACGCACCAGACTAGGCCGTCGAGTGGAATTCAAAGTTGAAACGATGAGTTTGGTGTTCGAGCTGATGGTGACCTGGAGTAGATGGTGTGAGGAAGAAATGAAAGCTTGATCGTAGTCATGGGACCAGGTTGTAAAGACTGCAGAGAGGAATGTGAAATGATGACGTGCAAGTGAAGCCCTATTTTCGACTAAGAATCCAAAGGACAAATAATAATAATAAATTCTAAGTGCAAATAATTTGAATCATCCAGCTCAGAGAGCATATCACTAGCAAAACTACCCTTCTGAACTACAAATATTCTCCGTCAACTCAAATATAGCTGAAAGGTATTCTATACTTATTTGAAAGCATGATGTGGAGAATTCCATATCTTATTGAATGTTTTACGAGATGAAACATGATGTAGAATGAAGGAACTAAAAATTTAGAGAAGATGGAATTTCGCCAAAGATCTCTTGATGGACAGTGACCATGTGAAGTTATTAGAGATAATCAGTATCAATGTTGAATGAGTTTTTTAAAGATTTAACTACCAAATGTGAACAGAGCCTAATTTATTCACTCTTTCTATTACCTAGGTGTAATTATTCGTATACTTTCCACTGTTACCTGATAATTATTCGAAAATGATATTAATTTTAAGAAAATCAGAATGAATCTAAAAACAAGACAAGATACTTCTACTAAATTTATGATATCTTATACAAATAGCCTTATCAAGGTAATGGGGAAATGGAATTCATGCTATTCAGAGTTTCATTACACTTGATCTGATGTATTCTACATGAATGATGTTTTGCTGTCAAACATTTTAAAAACATGAATGAATTATATAGTATGTTAAGTATTTGTAAGTATGTGCATTGCAGATGGGAGTATTTTTGTGCACATATCCACTGATTACATCAATAGTCAACTCTGTCAAGTTATTTTAATTTCCTTTATTGTTTTTAGATAATTTTGATTCCACTTTATATAAAGTGAATATGTTATGTAAGTTCCTTGTAATTTTTAAAGCCTTACTGCATTGTTTTGATGTTATCATATTTACCAGGTGATCTGAAATTATTACGTGTAAACCTATGGTTAATGTGTTTTCGTTAGGTTTCTAAGTCATTGGAAAGCAGTCCCCTGGTTTACATTATTTCCAATTTTGATATCACTCAAAGTGTGTCCTAAGGATACTATATTACAGTTTGAGCATTTTATTTTGTACACAATAGGAGACTTAGAGTTTCGAGGAAGCTTCTCCTTCACGTTTAAGAACAATCGATCTGATAACATCCAACTCGTTGTTGTTGATATTTTGAACTGTCTGAAATAAAAACATTTATGTTGATTAGGAACCGTCTTCAGCTAAACTCTAATTTTTTTTAGCATTTTCACGATATTCCCTTGAAATTAATAGAAACAAAATTACCAACTTCATCTTTACATTTTAATTTTTTCATCTGTGTGAAAAGCAAATTTTTAATTGCTTACTTATCTTGTTTAGGAAGTAATAAAAACACTTCAATGGTTAAAAGTCAAGTAAGTGGGCTAGGAGGTTGATAATATGTTAAAAAATACCTTGAAAAAAAATTTTTTTTTAACTTGGAACATATTGTTCGAAAAGATTATTTTTTGCAAATTTAATTAAATTCAAAATATAGAAAAGATGTTTTCTCACTATTTTTTAATTATTTTGCTCCGTATTCATGATATGAACAACTGAGTATTTCATGTAGGCTGATGTTATCAGTGTGAATTACTTTATCAGATATTTTATCCGAAGATCTTAAGATAATTGATTGTTGTGAACGGATTAACTTTTATTTCTTGATCACAATCTGTTATTACCCTAGTAATATAGTCCAGACTACGTGATTCTTGTTATTTGTAGGCGACAAATTAAATGTCAACGTAATTAGGTGTAAAGATGTCATCATGACAATGTAAACATAGTATATATCATATAAGCCTAATAAATGTCTTTCATTAGGCAATTTTCCTATTCTGCTGAAGCTACATATTTCCTGTTGTCAGATTTATAAAGTCAAAACAGGAAGCATTTGCTAGCAAATAGAATTTTAGTTATGTATTTTCTATACACCATCTGTTCATATTTGGTAAACTGTCCAAACACAACAGAGAGAATAAATTAAAAAATAATTCACTGTCATCTTACATGGAAGAAAAGATATTTCATATTCTGAGTAGGCACAGTTGCGCTAAGCGTTCCCCTTCTAGAAAATGCAATGGAAGAGAACAAGAGGAATCACATGTAGCACCAGAAGCAGAGATTTTTGTTATATGAATGGACTTGTCTAGACATCATTGTAGAGAATCTCATTGTCTGTCTTCCTTTAGCACTAATATATGCGAGTGAGTCTTACAGACATCAGTTTATTGACTCGAAGATGGGGACATAGTCTTAAAGCAAGCAAATCTCTTCATTGGTTAACTGACTGGCTGCTAGTGCTCACTTACCCTTCTGTGAGGGACTGATGGTGTGCAAGATTACCTCTTGACAACAATACACAAGAAGTTTTGCTAATCACCCGTTGAGTTATTTTGAAGACAGCTCACATGGTGCCCATACTTGGGTAGAGTGGGCTTACTGAAAAGTCATCACTCAGCTGAACTTCGTTTTAAGGTATTAAAATTGCTTTAATTGAAAAGAGAGAGTGCACCGCTTCTTTTCTATCAATTATGGGCTTTATCATTAGTCTAAGTCCGAAGCACTTTGAAAATCCTAATCAGAGTAGCCACAAATGAAATGTGGTTTTTTTATTACAACCTACTCCCTCTACAAATGATAGGATCATATGCAGAGAAAAGGGATCTCATATTTACCTAATAAGAAATCTGACTGGTTATCAGCTTCAAGACTGCAAGTCTTCTCTTCTCAGTGCTCTAAACTCCAAATCTTATCAAGTGAGAAATTTAACAAAAACCCATTCCTTGAAAATGGATAATGAAACATAAAAATACTAACTGGAGTAGAATAGCATAAAATTGGTCCTTAGGCTGATTGTTATCAAATGTTTGCAAAAATCAGCAACTGAGACGTCTAGACTAGATGAAGTTTCATTTACATCTCTTGATACATTCACGAAATTTCTAATTAGTGTAATCCAGAATCTCTGAACATAAATGACTAATTTCATTATTCTGGTACTTGCATTCCCTGGTTAATGTAAAAGAAAATGAATTTAAGTTTGTTTTCAAGTTTTGCTATTTAGTGCCATCAGCCTTATCAAAGTTATAGTAAACAGGAATTTATGATATCCAACCCAGCTCAGAGAACACAATACAACCAAGAGATCCAAGCTTATATGTGACAACTGTATATGCGTTCTTCTGAGTGAGTGATTCTGCGTTGTTAAACTGTTGAACAAAGATACTATTAACTTGAAAACTCAGTGTCAGGTTCATACTCATGGAATGGATCTGCCTAGTTAGGTAGAAAAGCTGAGGAATAATACAGAATATTTATTTATTTTGCTTTGTTCTGATATACTACGGCTGGGTTAAACAAGTGAAATGCACATTATATGGTGAAATATAATATCCACACATAGAATATTATGTTTGAATGGTGTATAAGATGTGTATGTACGCATACACTAACATAATTTATTGTATGTTATGTCAGTATATGGGGATGGTTTCAGATCTGGTCAGACTACGTTCTATTCCTCATTCCTAACTAGACAACTGTGATCCCATTTAGTGTGAAGAGATCCTGTTATGAGACGCTTTTTATCATTTCTTAAGCTTTTATAAGTAACTTCCATATTGTCAAAATCAACATTATGACTTGAAATTATAGTGTGTTGAGCTATGGTTGACATTCTTCCAAGTTTGCTCAGATCTACTGGATTTCTAGGGGGTAGAGTGGAAGTACTTCGGTGTTCATATTTCTAATTTTGACCTTACGGGACGTTTGTCTTGTGTAAACTGTATCAAAGTATGAGCATTTTATTCGGTTGACACGATAAGATTGAGAATCCAGAAAGGTCTACTCTTTCAAATAGATTCAGATACTCCGCAACAACTTTGATGTTATTTAGAACACTCTGATATTGCATTTGTTGAGAACTTTTCATATTTTATCCGAAGTGAGTGATCTGTATGGGATGACTGTTGCTGAGGTCAATGATTTATGAAGTACCTTTTTGACACGATTTAATATAATTTTCTATTTTGCGAATGAGTTTCACTGGATAAATGTTCATTTTGAGGATCTTGTCCATATGTTTTAGTTCTTTAACTCATTTTCATCTGTTATAAGAATGTGTGCTTTTCTTGAAGGACTAGGTGTAACAGAAACCTTCTCACTGAATGCATAGGCTGAGTTGAAACTTAAACATTTATTCAAATGCATTGTTTTCCTGAAGATGGTTATGTCTAAATGTGTATTTTCTTTCTGTTTAACAAGACAAGAGCTGAACTAGATACTAGGTTATTTAAAATTCACCTGATCTAAGTGTACCTGGCAAAAGTCACCTTTACACCATGAACATACGTGAGCCAAATTTTCAGCTGTAATAAGTGTGCTAAGACACCTTCTCCTAGTATACTCATTAATGTGTGTTAACATAGGTGAAACATTTCGATCCTAAATGGCATCGGAAAATAATAATTACCGGTAAATAGTAATGATTTTTATCCGTTGCACAAGAAATCGTTGTTGTGCCCCAATGGCCTAGTAGAAAACTCTTTGTCGGTTAAAGTGGCGGGTGCTAGGTTCACCTCTCAGTAGGAAAAACATGTCTTGCTGGTGTGCATGTACCTCTACCTGACGAGTTCCAGATAGGCGAAACGTGCATTTTGGATTTCACTGCTAGTCACAATCAAGCAAACCACAATAGAATCGAGATAGGAATGAGGAGAGAGAACTTGATTTGACCTAATCTCATCTCACCCTATATACTGACATAACCAAATACATACGGTAGCAAATGTGTACCTACAAATCTCAATGTTTAACTCATACTCTCTTCACACATAATATGCTATATATACATATAATCTTTTTTCACCAGTTTGACTACACAGAATTACTCACGTGAAAAAACATATCGAGTTATCACATATACGCTTGGATATTGTAGATGACGGTGTACTATACCGGAATATTAAATATCATACTAATATCACATTAAATATTCTATACTAGGATGAAACAGCTGTTCAGTGCTCCTAGGTTTTCAACGGTTCCCCAACTGATGTCAGTGCATAATGAATACTACTTCTAAATTGAATATCCCCATTCATTTCAAAAATATCATTTAATCAGTGCCCAAACTTTTTTCATACTATCAAATCCAGAACTTGGTTTGGATAATTGAGATGATTAATTATTCATACGAAATTGATGAAAAAGTTAAATTAGTCATGTGAACAGTATTTGTTTTCATCGTAGATAAAATTACTGTATGAAGTATACATTTCTTCGTGACGTGACATACACGTTTTATGGACAAGCCGTCAGAACGAAATATTCATTCTTGAGTAGGTCAAATTTACTGAATTACTCTAAATGAGTTTGTGTTTAGTATATTTGTAACCTTACATGTCATATAGTTATTTTTGAAAAATCATTAATTTCGCTTGTGTATAACAGTTAATGAATTCTGTAATGCGTGAATGAAACATTGTAAGAAGGCCATCAGCTTTCTGAAATTGCTAGAATTATATATGTATGATTTTAGTGAAATATGCATGTTTTGTGAAACCAGTATAGAATAGCTTTATTCCATACGAGAATTCGTAGATATATATGCAACACTTTATAGAAAACTTTAATCGACATTTTCAGAGGAGCAAGATGTCCCGAATTTACCAGGTGTTCAACAATGAAGCTGTGGGTGGTTTTGTGTTCATTCTTAAGAAACCAGGCAAAGTCTTGTTCATGAGTTCGCTTTTCACGCGAGTATATAATATCGTCGACTCACTAGCTCCACAGGAGCAACTGAACTTCTAAGTACACACCGATGAAGCTCAATCTACCAACTTGTCTCTCACCCACTAACGAATCATCTGCTGATATGAAAACACAATAAGGAGCGTAAAATGTTCTACTTAGGGGCTTTGACAAATGCTAACGAAGATTGTTTGTGACAATACCGCTTTTGAATCTGAGTTCCAGTAACAGTATTTTCTTTGGAGCTGGCTAAATTTATTCCGTTGACTTCCTGTCTTTCATATTTTCCGCTGTAATTTTGTGAGTGTAACCATTTTCCGGGGGGTTTCTAATTCTTGAACTGATGTATCATCACTGCATATCTTTCTTATTCAGGATAAGAGTGAGTGGATTAGGCTTCGCTTCCCACTGAAAGGCACCCAAATTCGAAAGTAATTTAGTGGCTCATTCCAAGGGAGCTACTTAAAGATTATTCTCTGAATAGAATTAGAGTTTGATATCGATGAAATGAAACTTTAGGCTTGATTCAGCTTCTAACGTAAATCTGACTGAATAGTGACTGTTACTGAACTTTTTGCCAGAAACCAAGTTTTAGTATTCAAAGCATCTTATAAAAACTATGGTGATCCTGTGTTGTGTTACGCAGCATCACTCAGTTTCATATGTACATCTGTCGATTAAATTTGTCCTTCGACCAGAAACTTGCATGGGACATTCTGTCATTTTGTGTATGTATTTAAGGATTTAGAGCAATGAAAATAAGTCGTCAAAAAGATGGTTATCTTCACTGCAACCTCCTTTTGTTTTTCAATGACCAAATGGGGTTCTTCCACTGTGTACAATTTTCTAACTCAAGGGTACATAAAGCTTTCATTGAGAACATGTAGGACACTAGTAAAATGAGAAAATATGTATTGCTTGCATATCTGAAATAATCATGCATAAATTGCATGTTGAGATATATAACGTCACAAGTCTGTGAGATAAGTGGGGATGGAAAGTAACTCTACAAAACTGTTATTACTAGCAAATTGAAACAGGTAAATAAACGAGTAATCACAGGTTTGAAATCAAAATGAAAGGAGACTGAAGAGAATCTGAGCATGAAACACAAGTGCAGAGAAAACTACAGATTATTCAATAAAGGGGAAAAGTTCAATTCATTCTTATCGTCATTCACTTGACAATCGAACTTGTTTTCATCAATAATGATAATGATAAGTTGACACTTTATCTCGTCGATAGCAATTCATATTGATGAAACATTAGGAATCTGAACAAATCTTTTTTGAATAAATGGAACCAGTTTAACCACCTTGGCTGTTATCACTTTCATAATCTCCAGTAGACAAATGTGAGTACTTTTTAACAAAAGATATGGAATCCTGTGTGAGATACTGAAGGTCTTAAGAATGTATTTGAAATGATACGAGTCCCTTGAATGTATCTATATGCCGATTTCATTTCTCACCCTCCTCTCACTACCTTACAACTTCTGAAGTTATTCGTTAGAAGATTAAAGGTCTAACATTACTAAACAGGTTATAGGCGTAAAATGAGGATCTGTAGGATTATCTTATTCCAGGTATCTTCAAAGTAACCAATATCTACTCGATTAATCTAAATTAGAGAGTTATTAATAATACTTTAATGCTCGCTGAGAGTTATTCTCAGTCAGTCAAATATTTTGTGGTAGATGAGAGTTAATGTTTAATAGGTATTCGAAAATATGTAGAAACGCATCTTTTTATCTCCAGCTAGTTGCCATTAGCGTAATAGTATAGGAATAAAATTGGGCGTTTTACTGAGATACTCACCTATTAAGCTATTATTCAAACAGAGGCCTTAATACTCAATCAAACATTGGAGTAGAACAAGCATTAAAAAAACGCAAATGATATGGATTGCATAAACGACCATTCTAACAAATAAATAGGTTAGGGAACAACGTCTTAGTGTCAGAAGCCATCAGTACTTGATGCGGTTCTCAATGAAAGCAGCGTTGCTCACTTGGACAAAGGCTTATTTAAGTGATTACTTCTAGACAGGAAGAAATGTTGGTCATGGCTAACAGCGCTAGATAAATTCAAGATTTTGCTTTTAAAATATCATTATGCTTAATAATTGCTCTTTTAAATTCCTATACTGCCTTTTATCTGGTTCTTTTGACTGACTTTTTTGAGGGACTCAGATTGAAATTAAGCGTAAATTGAATGTACAGACATCATTTAAACCCCTTGATATGAACTGTTGAGAAGGTATTTTAAAGTTTGTTGAAGGAGTAGCCATTAGGTGGTTTTGGTCACCTATACACGTTTAAAAATATGGGTTTAAAAACACAAAAGCAGCAGCACTAATGAAGAGACAGACATACATTTTTGAATAAATTTTTCCACATATGCCTACTTCTGAGTGCTTGCACAACTTTCAGTTGTGAGGTGAGGAAACTTGTTTTCTTGAATATTTACTCAAATGATTTTAAATGCTCTCATTGTTATTATTATGGTTCGAGTCGATTAGAATATCGCAGTAGGCTGCGTAATCATTACTACGAAAAAATCCCTCAAAAAATGGCAATTATATTCGAGTATAAATATAAATTAATCCCAGTCATAAGCTGTATATTCTACAAAGTAAGCAACAACTCCCATTAGTTTGTGATTTAATATGTTTTTTGAATCAAATGGAATTGGGGTGAAATTTTTTGTTCCTTATTTGTTTTAGTCTGCAATGACAATAAACAGATATGAAATTGAAAAACAGGTGGGTGATGAACCATATGTTGCAATGTTTAATTCCGATGCACTTAAAGATACTAGGGAGGATAGTGGACAGAATCTGTGACAGCGTACAAACGCAAAGGTGGCCTAAAGTATTACCTGAAGTCCATGATGTACACTTTAGATGTACTGATCTCAAAACAAAGTGTTACTTTACCAATGCAGGTAACGTGACATCCAGGGGTAAGGTAATCTATTTTTATTTCTCACCCTGGAAGAAGCGATCTACACTTTCTGACGTAACCAAATAAATGCGATTCAAACAAACATTTTTTCAAGACGGAACATGATTTGCTTTAGTGACTGAAACAAAGAGATAGGGAATTAAAAGTGAATAACAAACTGAAAATGCTAAAAATGGGGTTCATAATCTTACTGTTTTCAACATTATATGATGACGAGACGATCTGGCATTTAGAAAAGCTGAACGTTTTCAATATCTTACAGATATACCCTACATGTGAGTGTATTCGAAGAGTGACGCATATAGTCACGTTCTACACGATGGTCTACTCAAAACAGTCCGAAGAACATCCTTTACTGCATCCCTGCATCCTATTTTCTCCACCCTAGCTCCTGTTTGTTATAAAGTCAAAGATAAGGTCCTAATATGGGCAACTTCCAAATTGGTACATACACTGATTGGCTCCTATGCAGCTAAGTGTGAAAGGCGTAACAGCAGGACACTGTCAAGACGTACTCAATAATATACACTTGCATGGCTGTTTGAAAATAAATTCAAATGAATTGATGCTTTTATTCTGAAACATATTGTTGTATCAGGTCAAGCATTATCTTCATAAAATTCATGCCATGTGATTTATAACAAGAGGCTAAGCCTTCCAACGTGATTTCGGTTAACATTCTCTTGTACAGCAAAATATCTGGCCTGTTACAAACATCATTCTGAACTCTGTTTACGTAAGTGTTTTGTTTAGTTCCTTTCGCTACAGTGCCCTTAGTTTTACAACGCTGAATTATGCGGGTACTCCAGTCAACCTCCATTCTGTGGTTTTGAAACTTTGTGTGATATTCTTGTTCCTCATCTGAGTCAGAAAGAAGCACTTCTGAGTTCTGTTCAAAAACGTGTATTTAACCTTCTTGTTAAGTTCTCTTCATAAAGTCATTGTCTTTCTAAAATATGATAACTAATCATTAAGTGTGAAGTTTCGTGTCTCTTGCTGTATAGCTAGCGTGCGTGTGTATGTGTTTTATCATTCGTATTATCCGTGATTTTTAATATCAGACAAAAAGGCCTCTGGTGACAATGTCGTCACTCGGTAATTTTAAACGTACAATGGCAAATATGAGGCGAGTATGTATATAATTTCATTTGGTATATGGGACTGATGAGTGTTAACGGTTCTTTTGTTGATTTACCGTAAGAGATTGGAAACGAATGGTAGTTACGATGGTGATACAGTCAGTAACAATCAGTCATGTCAATCAAGATTGCGTTGTTGATGCAGAAATTATGAAGTTGAGGCTGGTAGTGACACTCTTTCTGCTTATTAACTGGTAATTGCCAAGAAGCAGCTAACTGTACTCCATCTCATCTGTTCAGACTGTTTGGCTTAGCCCATATATATAGAGCTTTGGCTGGCAATCTTTCTTGGTATGACCCAAAACCTTTGCGCAGAAACTTGGTTCCGTCAAAGTCAGTTTCGTGGCCCATTTCTATGGAGTGTAGCGCGATTGCAGATTTGTTTTATAGTTTTGTAACCTCTGCTAAGGTTTTTAAGATCTATTTTAAGCACAGTTTATGCTCACTGATTCTCACATTTACCTGTCTGGCTGTTTCCCCTACATATACTGCAGTACAATCTCCGCATTTGATTTCATAAACGCAGTTATGTTGATTTTCTTTAGGTAAGACATCTCTGACTCTCATTACTCAGAGCTTTAGGTATTTTTTGCATGGAAGTATTTATTAGAATGTGTTGTTTTTCTAAAAATATTAATCTTTACTTTATTGTAATGCTGTCTTTACACCATACAGTCCATAAACGTTAAATTCGACAAGTTAGTATCAACTTCCTTAGTGACAGTAATACTTTCGTAACCATTATTTACATGACGGAAGAGTTCATCCCCACTGTTCAGTTTAATGATGACAAACGTATCATATACATATGTTAACCAAATTCTTCGAAGTGTAGAGCATTTTGGCATTGCATTTGTCTCTAACGAATGCATGAATACATTAGTTACTATTGGGGGTACTGGAGATTCCACTGCTATAACATCTGTTTGTTAACCTTTTACTCAGTATCCAATATTTGCGAACTATTCGGTCAAACCTTGATCATATTTCATATAAAGTTACATTATTATTGACATTGTAGGTGAAAAATGAACATTTAATAGTCAAATAAAAAGTTTCTTCAGTACTCTTGGATATGAAATCACAAGAATAGTGAAAAGATTTTTTGTAGTTACTATAACAGTTATAAGGTTGATTATGTGAAGTACATTGAGAGAGAAGATCATGGACAATAAAATAAGGTGGTTGAATTCTCTTACAGATAATATTGTTGTAATCTAATCTTGCAGTGCTCGTAGAACAACAATAAAGTTGAAAAGGCCATGAAAACTATCTGGCTTACTCTTGAGATGTATCCCGTCTATTTTGAGTGGGAGGTAATCACTACTTAATCATACAAAAAATCATTAGCATTTGTTGTTCATCAGCTGGATGTCATAGTACACCAGACATAAGACGTAAGAAGAAATAAATAAGTTTGGCAAGTGATGTGTAATCAAAAAACTTAGTTGAGCAGAGCATCACAATTCATTTAGCGAAGCGTAATGGCCATCAGGGTAAAGTTACGTATACACATATATATTTTTTAACCCCTTACAGAAAATAATTCTGGAGTATTGGATCCTCTGTATTTTGTATTCATGAATGTACAGATTAACAATTCACTTCTTAAAATAGAATGTTTTCTTCTCTGAAACCATCTTTTGTATATTATCCTATAAAGAAATAGACGCATTTCACCGTCTTGTTATATTAGAAGGGGAAATGTTATCAGTGAAAACGAGCGAGGAATGTTTACTATAGCTTGATAACGGTAAAATCTACGGTGCTTAAATGACCAAGGAAAACGTCAAAAAATAATGTCAAATGAATAAGCCAAACAATTTACTAGTAGTTCCAACATATGGAAACAACTTCGTATATCGTAATATTTAACATCTGGGTTACTTATACTTACTTATTATATCTGAGGAAAAAAAGCCTGAATGGCTGATATTCAGTCAACCCTAACGTTCTTAACAACAGTAGAAATGAAACATTTAAACACGTTAAAAGCGGAAGTAAATCGGAAAGATTAATTTGATGCAAACGCTATTTGGACGATTATAAATAATAGTAAAGTTAATAAATTTTCTAACACATTGACTTTAATTACAATCTATTTCTGAAATAGTTTTGAAAGATTATCAAGAGACTGATAAATTTTAGGTGAACAACAGTTTCCTAGGCTACCAATAGAGGCAAAAATTTAGAAGATTTTTCCTATTTGAGTAAAAGTTTAAGAAGAGATTTTTGTACTACTGTATGAATGTGTAACTCAAAATCAAATATGAATCTCAGTTAACCTAAATGTCACCATGGTATCATAATAAAAAGAAATCAAACAATATGTATATAAGAATCTCAAAAAATGGCGGAAATGAAATAATTAGGTGTATCTGTAAGCGAACGTTTCTCAAGAGGAAAACATTCATATAATAGATATGATCTGCTTGTTATCAATGATTGAATAACGATGATACACGGTGGAAATGCATGATATATGCTGCTATTCTGAACAACCGCCTGTCTTTTTTTAGGGCAGACATGAAATAAACTCATGGTAACAACTTTATTTGTTTGTAGCCTAGACACATTGGCCAATCTCATAGAGTCACAGGACCGAAATTTACCAGTAGCTGGTAATCCATCAGAGTTAACTACTAAACGATATGTTGCATGATTTTTAGTGCCTATTAGTTGAAAAAAGAAATAACTGAACATGTCAGAATTGTCGGAGCTGAAAATCAACTGTAAAACATGTACCAAATATCCTAAAACATACAGTTTTCATTCTGTCCATTTTACCATACAGTAAATATCATATTAAATAATGTCATTGAAAATACATCTTTAAAGACGTTTACAAGCTTAGTGAATATAAAGGTTATCAGAAAAAAATCACACAGAAACAAGTATAGTTATATACTATATGACTTTGCTTACGGCTTTGCCACGGTTTCCCACTTCCTGATTATCACTTAGAAATCAAGGCAGATTTGTCTAATAAACTTTGTACAAAATAATGTTGATCTAAATATTCATATGCTGACTTATACTGACAATATGTTCATAGTTTTAAATTGTTTAATCCACAACAGTGTTGCCTATAACAGATAAATCACCCTCAAGTCATCTTTGGCTATGTTGCCAAACACTGATTTAGGTATATTATTTGAAATGCAGGATTTTCACTACATTCTAATTTCCACTGTGATGAACCATAAACTGTAAATGTCGTCAGTATATTACAGCAGAACACTGTCGAAATTGATGGTTCATTTTTTAACGATAAAAGAGGTCTTGAAACGTATGAGTAGTTCTAATGTGGAAGCGAGTGATATGAATAAATGATTTAGTGCACACAGAGCTATGGTCGAGCTTTCCTCTGAAATAATCATCCTCACAGAGTCTACCACTGTGATTCCCTAAAGTTTTGTGCTCCACTGTTTTGACCGACACCAATCGGTTGTTTTGACTCATATGCTTGAATTCACAATCATTATATGCTATCTGAATGATTAGGTTGTTTTTCTTAATTGTATCTGCTGGATCTTTTAGACTACAAAATTTGTCCGTGAATGAGTTTGTAGGTTCAAACGACACCTTGATCCCAGTACTGTTAAGAATTCCACGTAAAATTTAAAAATCTTTATATGACAACACTGCAGAGGATGTGAATTCCCCTTTAGGCATGTTGCTGTCACTTCTACCACTATCAGTCCTTTTCTTTCGTCCTAATAGCATTTAAATTGCAGAGT